ACCTCTCTGGCTCCCCCGCTGGCGTCCCAACCCCAGCACAGCCCACCTGCGGGATCCCGCACCCGCACACAATTTCCCTCGAGAGGTAGGTCTCATATAAGTCTCATCATGATGACAATGATAGTAGATATAAGAAAAACTGTAGAGAAGTGTATACATTTGGTGATAATGATGATGGGATGATGGTGATCATGATGATGGGATGATGATGATGGGGGGGGGGGGGAGGAGGAGAGGGGGGTAACTGTTGCAGAGACCCCCCTCTCCCTTCAAGGTCGTTGAGGTCATCGTCAGGAGGCGTTCGCGTGACCTCGACGAGATTCCTGGGCGTTCGCATGTTAATGATGACGTCACGCCGCAGGCTTCTCTTCAGCAGATGATGATGGGAAGATGATGGTGATCATGATGGGATGGTGGAATGGTGATGATGGTGGGGTAGGAATGATAATGAAATGGTGATGATGGCGGAATGGTGATGATGATAGGATGGTAATGATAAAGATGGGATGATGGTGATCATAATGGGATGATGATAATGAGATGATGGTGATGATGATGGGAAGATACTGATGATGGGATGATGGTGATGATAATGATATGATGGTGATGGGATGACGGTGATGATGATGAGATGAGGTTGATGATGATAACTTGTTTTGCTGATATCATTACCACTATTCTTATTTCTCACTAACGCTTTCAATTTTACTGGTGATGGAAATCTACTCACGCTCGGAACCGACAGCCGAACCGGCCCTCGAAGCCCGCCTGCAGCCGAGCCAGGTCCGCCCTGGCCAGCTTGGGCGCCACCACGAGGTACGCGTCCTCCGCCATCCGCACGCCGCCGCGGGCCAGGCCCTCCAGCAGGCGGCCGCACACCTGGGCGCTGCTGCCAGCGCCGGATACGGCCAGGAACTGATACCTGCTTGAGGCAGTTCACAAAATAAGTGAAAGAGATGTGAAGATGATAAAAAGTAAAAACCTAGAATTAATTATATGCCCAAATACTATAAAAAAAATAATAATGATAATAAAGATGATGATGAAAAATAATGACAAATAACATAATGATCGTGACAATGAAAACATACAAAAATGATGTCACAGATCACTGACAAAGATAATAATAATAATAGCGACATGAAAAGAAATCATACTGCATAAAATTTATTTCACTTTAAAATCTTTACGCAAAAGATAAGTATCATCCTGGGTAGACTGGAATGCCAATAACCAGCAGGAAAGCCTTCCTGCTGGTTATTGGCATTCTCAGAACAGAATTACAGGCCCACCGTCTCCCCTCAGGCTGAAGCGCGGAAGCTGCTCGACACGCCCAGGTCAGCGCGTCGCCATCCACTTTGGAAATTATCAGCTGCAAAGTCAGACCTTTTGGGAGTGGCTGAAGTAACTCCGTGTCCACTGTGCATGCAGGTATATGCATTCCTGTAGAAAAAAAAATGAAAAAAAAATTATCATAATACATAAGTAAATAAAAATCAGCATGATGCATAGGAGTACTAGTTTTTACGTTTGTAACTAAGCAAACCCAATGAAATCACTTACTAAAATTTTCCAAAAGTGGAAGATGACTCGTCGCTGCTGACAGATAATGGGACAAAGCCAAATACTGTTCAGTGTCAGCCACAGATAAATGCAGATCTCTTAGCGTATTGGACAGTGTCTCCAACAAGGCCAGGCTCACTTGGCCTTGGAATCTGTACATCGAACATCTGCGAAGGAAATCGATAATGTGGTAAAGAGAAATATATGTGTATACAGAGAAAGAATTATTCAGCCACATAAAAAGACAAATATGTAAGAGACGTTAGTGCGAAAAAAGAAACCATCCTGCTAATACATGCTGACAGGGAATCTGCAAGAAGGGACACTGACGGTTATAATGGGAGGATAATTTATATCAGTTGTATATGTTTGTGTCTTGCAGGAGGAATTTTGTTCTTAAACATAGAACAAATATTTCAGGTAGACTTCATGACATATTTGTATTAATCGCCAAGTGTTTAATAATAGTAATATCAGAATTGTTTCCAAGGAAAGATGATTGCAAGTACGATTTTTTTGATGCAATATATAATTGTAAATCCAATAATTATGATGGTGACAGCAATATGATTATAGTGATAGTGATAACAATTATTATCGTAATTATAGACATTACAAATACCAAAATTATCATCATTACTGTTATTATTATCTTCCTTTCCATTACGTCAGGAACCAGCTTCGATAAAAAGGGAAAATCTAACCTTAGTTGTTTCAGAGCCCCGTCCAAGCTGCTTCCTCCAGGCTTTGGCAGCCTGAACTCATGCTGGAGGAGCAATCTTAACATCCATTGCTTCTCCTGGACACGGCGTAGAAGTTCCTCTAGATGTACAACTTCCTTAGGCTCACGTTCAATAAATATACGTATATTTACATTTTTCTTTTTGATACAAGGTAGCAATGATGTATAGGCTCCTGTGCGGGAATCTGTGACCGT